GTAGAGTCCAGGCGAGCATAGAGAAAGCCGCAAAAAAACTTTGAAAAGTGAATGCGCCGCCAAGTTACACGACCTCAAAGTTGCAAACTTTGCCAGGTGCCACTTACATGCCTCTCTTTACAGACTTGTAATTTAGCTCGTTTTTAATAGAATTCAATGCTTTTTTGTTTATTGGATTTTTCATGTTCTGGGCTTTTAAATGCATATTTATTTTCTTAATTTTATTGAAAAGTCGAATAAATACAATAAAAACAAAATTTTGAACAAACATTAATAAAAAACGAAGTTCTAAATTTTAAAAAAAAAAACATAATTTGCGTAGAATTTTTTGCTCTACAACATATCGTAATTTGGAGATGGCGACTTTTTGGTATCCAGAGCTATGAGCCAAAATGGGATGTAAAACTGAAAAAAAATCACCATTTTTACAGTAATCTCATGTATTTTTTAATGGCGAAACCATCCGAAGCCGCTTCTGAGGGCTGCAGCAGGAAACGTCGTTTTGAAAAGAAGAGTGATTCCCTTGTATATTCCTTGCTCCTTTATCTCGCTTTGACAATGATCTCTCAACATGGTCTCCGAGTGCGTCCCCTCAAGGTCATGTCTAGTTTCTTTACCTTCGTCGGTCCTTAAGGCAATTTCGGGCGCTGTCACGACATCACGCGCATGATCCCCTCACCCACACTTTATGCTTAACTTTTCAACTATATTTTTATCACCTACGACCAACTTGCTGGGCTCAAAAAAAAATGCAAAATATCGAGTTGTTTGCCATAAAAGCTGGTTGTAAGGGAACCCCAATACGTTTTAAACAAGGCCACTGGAAGCCGTTTTCAAATACTTTCTTTTCGTGTACTAAACAAATTCGTTGTCTAACTGCAGGTCAATATTATTGGTTTACTCGATAATTAAAGACCCTGTCGCAGCCTCAAGTTTTGTTTACTGAGATTAACTTTCTTTGCCGACACATACATATTTCTTAACAAATCTATCCAGTCTTAAACTACGCAGTCGTTACACCGACTTTCGTAATTTCAGATGAACTATAAAATCCCTTATGCAGGTTCTCAAGCCCATGAAATAGATAAATAGGAAAGAAAAGCTTGCAGTGTCCGATACATGTTTTCTTTCCAAATCCAACAGCACTGTTTGAAACCAACTCTCTTCTCCTCAAAGCCATATCTATTTTTAGAAAGTTTGGCAAAAAAGGAAAGGAGACAGAATAAAAAAAAAAGTAAAGCAGTTAGGCAAATGTATCAACAAATATACCCATTACTGAAGTTCAACGAGTTATGAAGGAAGGCAGTAAAGCATCTGATTCACCAAAAGGAATAACTTTTTGTTTACAAGTGGTTGCCTAAAGCTAAAAAGGTCATAATGGGTACTGCTTAGTTGCCCTACTCTCATAGGTAGCCACAAACTCAACTGACCCTAAATGATCTTCAACATATTCGGCCCGAGATCCGTTTCATATGTAAAGTTTTCGCTTTTTTTGACAGCCTCGAACTCATTTTGAGAACTTAAATTTGGCACTCTTGCACTTTGACGGCCCCAGCGCGCTGATTGGTTGATTGCGTTTTGGAGAGAAAGTCGGAGAAGGAGACAGTGAAGTGGACAGCGGCAACGTGGAGGGGAGAGCAACAAAGAGGAAGGAGACAGCAACAAGGGGCGG